CAGTGAAGGCCGGCCATTCCCACGATTCAAGCATGCACTATCATATAAACCGCAATTTATGAATTTTGCTCTTGAATACTCTTGTTAACATCAGTCTCGAACTGTGTATACGCTGAAGTCTTTTCAAACTGTCATTGTCAAACAAGGCTGTGGTTATTTGACCTGCATAGAACTTTTCGGATTAGGGAAGCATTCTCAACGTAAAGCCTATATTTACATTTTTATCCTTGTGAAAACATGTTTATTACTTTACTCGTCTTTTAATTGTAGCCATACGCGCCGCAATTTTGATCCAGAATTGGTTTAGACGTTATCAAGCTCGTCTTGAAGCCCGAAGAAGATGCACCTGGAAGATTTTTCAAAGCGTCGAATATGCGGGAGAACAGGACCAGCTTAAGGTGATTTGATCAATTTAGCACTTTTTATTCTGAGTGTTACTTTTTCTGCGAAACTGAATTGAATTATTGCACCAACGATTCGCATTTCAGTTAAAAATTTTCTCGCCTTTTCTGATAAAATCGAATTCTACATTGGTGTCTCTGGTAAATGGATTTGAATTACAGATTATGTTAGGTTAAAAGCACCAGTCTAAAGGCGTTAATACTGTATAGGTAAGCGATTTTATATTTTGCCATCTAGTTGTTTAATTCCTTACCCTATGGTTGATTATTAACCACATATTCGTTAAGTCTTCATGGCTTAAAAAGCTTACTAAACTTTGCTCTAATTAATTTCCAAAAACAAAACAAAAAAAATGAAAATTAGAGAAGACTACAAAAAGAGTTCATAAGCATTCTGCCTTGTTTGAAAACGTGGTTTAGTTAAAGCAGTAACAACAATATTGGTCTCAATATTTTCAAGAATATACTTTTCCTTTATACTTACACAATTATAAAACATTTGCCAAAAACAACAATAACAAAAATTTTACAGCAAAGTACTAAGTTAGGGATAGATTTATTTTTTCAAAGTTATTAAATAAAGTGTGTATTTGTTCCTTTGTCAACATGTCTGTCCAATTATTTGATGTCAGAGAAATATCCCTCTTAACTCAAAACTAATAAACTCCTCACCCCATGTCCTGGTTCAAACCAGGATGTAGCTAAATTATCTATCTACCAGTGTGCACTCCAGCATCAATATTAATTTCTCTTGGACAGATTTTTAAGCTGACATTTTTTAACTTTGGACAATACCATAACTTTATTTTTATCTTTCCAGTGAAAACAGTCTGAAACGACAAAAACTCATTTGTTGGTTTATTAAATAACTGAACAGCTCTGCCCTGCACAGTCAGTTGGTCTTGTTGTTTATTAATAATATTTTAGTGTGGAAGGGGCTTATTGGCAGGAGCTACAACTGGTAGCTCACATAGTAAATTATTAAAGTACTGACAGGGTTTGGTTTAACGCATTTGTTTCATACAAGCAGTCTCCATGGAAACATGCCTAACAGTCACCCCCTTTTCTGACTAAATTATTTTTATTACTTAATGATTTATTATATTCATAATGTATTCAACATTTTACAGGTTCAATTTATATGCCAATTTTTTAAAATTAAAGTATGAAATTTTACATTTTTATTCAGTTGATTTTAAAGGAATAGACTCAACCACTGTTTTATTAGGTCCATAATATAATAGACTTGCCATTATAGCTAAATGAACAGCTGTCACCTCGGCAGAATTTCCCGCAGTTCATAGGCTTATTATGTACATGACTGGTTTATGGTTTTCATTAACACCCTCATTTGGCAAAAGAAATTTTGAAGCCATTGTTAGTTTTGCATCTATGCCAACAAAAGTGTTTTGACTGTTATATTAGTGTGAAAATTGTGATAATCACTTTTCTCTGCCAGTTTTCTTCCTTTTATTTTCATCCTTAATAGACCTGCCATTCATTAATTTAAAAACCAACCATTGTGTTTTGTCAATTTGTGACACCTTATTTGCACTTCGTGATGAATATATATTTTTTTGAAGTAGTATAACTCTAAAACAATACCTAGGAAATGGCAATTGTTCCTGGTTTTGACTAAAAGGAGCGTTGAGAATTGTTTCTGACTACATTTACAATGCCCAAAATATTCATACAATGTGTAGCATTGCCTACAAAACTATTTTTGATCAAAAATATCTTTTACTGAAAAAATAAGAAAATTATTTGAGGGCCAACTTCATTTATCTTAAGTTATTAATTATTAAGAAATACTGAGCAGGTTGAATTGATGTTCACTGTATTTAAAATGGAGTGAAACATTTAATGAATGAAGATTTTTTTGAGAATGTATTTTTGCCTCTACAATATAGGGTTTTAAGTGCAAATTAGAGAAATTATTTCTCTGAGTCACAAAAAAATGGTTGGGTATCTTTTGCTGTTTTTGAAATTTTTATGGCCATATTGATCTCAGTAAGAAGGTGGCAGGGGTTTATTCCTAAATACTCTACGTAGATAGAGCCTGGTTAGTTTTAGGTTCCTACAACATGACTTTAGGCTGGCAAGATATTTTTTTCCTTCAATAAGTTACTCTTCTCCTCCCACATGATTAAAATTAATGGGTATCAACCTGTTTTACTCTAAAATGTCTTGGGATTCCTGTGATGGGTGAGTGTCATCTTCATGGGATGTAGTTAATCATAATTTTAAGGATATGCTTGTAAAAGTATTTTCATTTTTCACATCTTGTAAGGAAGGCCAAATTGTCAGGGGTGTGGTTCTTAATTAATTGAATGAACATAAACTTTTATTTTATATTCCTCTGGCTGAACAATATTTTGAAATATTATCAGGCATTGTAGTT